AAACAATCCTCATTTTACAGGGGGATTTGAAGGATTAAATGAAAGAGTGTTGTTTCCAGAACACCAGCACATTCTGAGCAGTCACTAGGGAGAACTAGATTCCTACCAGCATAAGACGCAGAGCCTCAGAGAATCGACAGTGGAGATCAGGCCTGCACTCAATCACTCCTCCCTACTTTTTCCCCGGGAGGAAATGGGAGGACTGTTTTCTGACAAAAGAGGCAAGAGTTACCCTCAGAAACTAAGCACTCTGCCAGAATGATCCATTCAATTTCACAACCCCACGACAGAGAAGATAAGACTCAGCCCCCTTTGATGAATTGGGAAATTGATGTTTAAATAAGACATAGATTCACCTGCCCTGACCAGTGTGGCTCAGTTGGTTGAGCGCCATCCTGCAAAGCGAAAGGTTGCTGGTTCAATTCCCGGTCAGGGCACACGCCTGGGTTGTGGGCTAATCCCTGGTTGTGGCGTGTGTGAGAGGCGACCAATCGATGTTCCTCTCACACATCAATGTTTCCTTCCCTCCTTTCCCCTCTAAATAAATAAGTAAAATAAAATAAAATAAAATAGATTCACCTGGGGTCACAGAGGTAATCCAGAGCAGAAACCAGGGATTCTAAACTCCCCTGGGGACTCTCTCCTAAGCCTCCCACCAGGGTAACACCACGCTCCGCACTGACGTTCTAAGGAGGCAAACAGCACAGTGATAAATACGGAGGGAGGTCCGTTTGTTTGCGTAAGGCTGAGACTTGGCTCCGTCACCCACCCGTTGTGGAATCTTGGACAAAGTCCTTACCCTCGTGCATCTCCGTTTCCTAGTGGAAGAACTGCCCCTCCGGGGAGCTATGAGGAAGAGAAGGGCCAACCCGAGCAAAGTACTTAAATGATGCCTCCTCTGAACAGGCGCTCAATAAATACCAGCTACCACCACCACCATCATCAGTATGCTCTTCCATTCTGCTACGTTCACAAGGACAAACCCTAGTGTCCACAAAGCCTCTTCCCTGGGGAGCCTGATGCCCCATGATCATAGGACAGGGGTCGGGGCCTGCTACAGACTCCCTGCAGGGACTCAGGAAGCTTTCCTTCCAAGCTGCTGCAGACCAAGCAGGGAAGCGGCCTCTCCTCCTGCAACCAGGCCTCTGCTGGGGGAATTAGGACCCCCTGCCTGCCTTCACTTTTCAGCTCCGTCTCTTAGCACTTAGCAGCAGAGCCCCCTTCAGTCTCCCTGCTGACTCTACCTTCCTGCCACAACCGGACGCTACAGCCCGGGCAGTGCGGAGCCAGGAGAAAGAAGAGTAAGCCCGAGCAAGGGAGGGGATCAGGCGGGAGCTCAGGGTAGGAAGCGGCGGGGCGCGCAGCTTCCGAAGAGGTGGTGCCCGCGGGCAGGGCTCTGCCCGGACCAGGCATTGCTCCGCAGAGCCTGTAGGGCAATTATCCTCGTCATGTGCATCTCCCAAACAGCCCTTTGATTTATTAGCGCGACATCTTTTTCAAACGCCACTCTTAAATATAAATAACACTTAATCATCCAGCTGTCGTTTAATTCATGTTATATTGATTTCTCGGAGTGCCACAAATCTGAGGGCTAACGGGCTGGCGGATGTGCACACAAAGCCAAGCGGTGGATTAGCGAGTGACGGGGAGGGGGAAGGGAGGGAGGTGTCCAGGAAGGGACCGGAGCCCTGCTCAACCGCCCCAGGGTCCGAACCAGTGTCACAGGCGGTCGCCCTGGACACAAGTAAGGAGAGGGGAGGAGAGTCTAAAAATTAATGACACAGCTGTTGCACGGGCGAATCACAGCCGGAATCATGGGAGGCTGTCTGTATGGCTGCCGCCCTACCACCGCCCATCACAGAGCTACTCCAACAGGTCTCCGAGGTGGCGTTATCCGAGTAGTGCGGTCTCTGGGTGAGGATGGGGAGAAGCCGCTAAGAAATGCCTCCTAGCTGGCTAGGAGGAGAGAGATTGGCTTGCAATTTCTTTGCATCAAAGCCTGGTGATAACTAGGAGCTAAGAACAGTTAATCACCCCGCCCCCTTAGCTCTCTCCCCACTTCAGGACTGCTGCCTCCCTAGAAAGCCCCACTGAATTCCCAGCAGCCCTCACTGTGATTGAAAAGACCAGGAGGCCAAGTGTAGGCAGAGTCTGCCATGCAGATCTCCCTGTCTGCAGGGAGCGGCAGGCGGTGGAGAAGCGCCCTCGGAGAAGGAGAAAGAAAGCAAGCTGGCAGCCTCCGATTCCTCCGGAAATGTTTGCGGAGGGTCGCTGGGCATCCAGGATGAGGTCCTGGGAGGACAGAGGCCAGCCTGGAGCGAGTGCCGGATTCAGCAAGGAGGAACAGTTCGCGGACGACCCACACACGTGCCCACAGCACAGCTGCCTGAAGCCCAGCCCAGCGGGAGCAAGGGTCTGCCCAAAGGACGCTCTCGTGGCGGGGGTTTTCTAGTGCACCTGCTTTCCGAGTGAGGAGACCCCAGAGAACTTCAAAGGCAGACCCCAGAGGAGTGATGGGGAGGGACAGTGACAATGTGGCAGGCTCCAGGGCTGGGCTGGAGAGCCCGGGGGTGGGGGGGGGGGGGGGTGGAAATTGGATGATGTATATACCCAGCTTCACACAGATGTTAATTAATGCCTGCTTTGTCCTAGAAACCAACTGGTACCTCAGACTAAGTGCGGAGAGTGTGGGGATTTTTTGAACCTGTGCTTAAAAATCTTTAGCTTATAACCAGCATGACGACTGCTGGCTTCACATGAAAATGACGGATCCTGAGGCTGCAAACACACGAGAAAGGAAAGAGACTGGAGAGGGCAGCAGAGAAAGGAGCAGACACGTGGAAGAGGCACAGGCATTCCGGGGAGCTCTGTACCCCCTCTTTCTGCCCCTCCAAGGTCCCGTGAGGGAGTGTTGACCTGGGAGCCACCCACTGCTGCCGGAGTTCACTATTTCCGCTGAAAACCATGTGCCGCTCTACACACCCGTGGGGCCTCCCTGTCCACGCTCTCCAGGGGCATGCGTGCGGAGACGTTCCAGGTCTTCCACAGCCCGGGAGACAGAGGTGGGTCCCGTGGCCACACAGGGCTGCAGAGGCTGGCGGCAGACAGCCAGGCTCTTGAGCATGCCTGTGTATATATATATCTGGGTGTGTGTGGACGTACACCCACCATTCTTAAAAAGAAAATAATGCTTCTTCCCCCTACTGGGTCTGCCCCATTGTGACAGCTCTGCTTTATTCCATCTACCCTTTTCAATCAATCAAAGGGCAGCTCACACAGCAGCACACCGCCGGAATACAATCTCCCTCCCGGGGCGTCTGCTCTTCCCCTCCCCGGCCTAGCCAGAGACCTTTGCAGCAGCTAGGAAAAGTTTGAAAATAGCAGAGACAGGGGTGCAGAGAGAGAGCCCTTCATTTCAGCACCCGTCTTCGGGGTTTCCAGAATCAACCAAATCCCGTGCCCAGCACCGCGGCCCCATCGTTCCACGGGATGTCGACTCCTTTCCCCTCACGCTCTGGAAGACTCTCGCCACAGTGTTTTCCCCACTGGTCGGTGCGTAGGATCCTCTGAACATATGATCTTGTGCAGCGGGACAAGCACATTCCATTTCTTTCCGGGCTGACCAATGAGATACCCCAACAAGCGACCGCTACGGAAACATGGGACCTTGCTGTATTTATGTTCGACTCCAAAATAATATTTTATCTGGATGTCACATTCTTCTCCCTACAACAGCGGAGCCTGAATGAACTGCTCTTTGACCTCCCCCAAATGAAAACTGAAAAAGCCCTATTTCGAGCCCCAACCACCTCCTACCTCCTCCACACACACAAAAAAGTTTGAAAATAAACAGCCTATGAAACTCCAGCCAGGGAGAAAAGGTAAGGAAAAGCTTCCAGGAAATAGGACCTTGAACCACAGGCTTCTGGAGAGGGATTCTCCGCTGCCAGGAGCAGCCTGGCTCTGGGGGGACGCGGGCAGACCCAAGAACGCCTTGCCTCCTCCTCGGGTGGGCACTGCTGAGGCCCGCACGAGAGAGAGGATCCTCCCCTTCTCTTCCTCCACTACACCCTCGTGGATCCTCACTGCCAGACCTTTTTCTCAGACACACACCCCGAAAGGCATGTGACAGGTGTTAGCCAGAGGCAGGGCTGGTAGTTTGCAGCACAGTACAGAGGAAGGGTAGGGAGGTGACAGGGAGACAGACCCAAGTCCTGTGTCCTTAAGCCCTGTCGCCTTGCTGTGGCCCAGAGACTAAAGACGTGAGGAGGTCATACCTTTTATGGAATATTCGAACCCCGACATCCTCCCTGCATCAGCCGCACACACCTCCCAAGCGGTGCTTCAGCCCGAAAACCTGCGCATTCCCGGGAAGCAGTGCCACGCTCAGGAAAGCGACTGTGCTGCCTCTTACTGGGGAAACGCAGTCTGGCTCACATGCACCGCCCTACCGAGCTGCAGCCCCATCCGCCTGGGTGGCGTCCTCCGGGCGCGCTGGGCCACTACGCTCTTGAAATCTGTCTGAGTATCTGTCCGTCCGTAGACCGTTCGAACCCCAAGCTGTTCAAAGGCCGCGGAACCCAGATTACACTGGGAGGGTCCCGAAGACCTCCCATGACTTCTCCCGTTTTGAAAACCAGCTAGGGATGCAAGAGGCTGAGCAATGAGAAAATCACTCCCTCAGCCTGCCGGAGTGGGAGGGAGAGGCAGGCACACACAGAATCCCGGCCTGAAAGTCCGGGGTAAGAGAGAAGTCTGCGTCTGGGCGCGTCAGAGAATGCACACAGGAAACACCTGCCCCGGCCGCGCAACACCTACGCGGGTGTCCAGGTGCGACATGGGCAGGTGCCTGTGCGTGGTGTGTGCCCGTGTGTATTTGTGTGTGTGCGTGTGTGCGCGCCAGCGTGCAGCGTGCTGGCTCCAGGGAAGCCCGGGACTCCAGGACCCAGCCGGGTATCTCCGCTGCTGTGCCCCCGCCGCCCGCAGGGCCGGCTCCTTACCTGCAAGCGCCGCTTCTGCCTCCTTCAGCGGGAGCGCCGCATTGACACTGCAGATGGTGCCGGTGCCGCTGCCGCTCGCCCTCTTCCGAACGTGTGCGTGTGCGCGCGTGTGGCTGCCTCCTCCAGCCCCAGCCCCGAACGCAAATACTCCACCGGGGCACAGGGAGCCCGGGAGGGCGCGAGGAAAACGGAGGGCGAAATCAGAGCCTGCGGGGCTTGACAGCTCCTCTTGCAGCGTCCAAGGTGGGCGGAATGTCCAACAAAAAGGTCGGAAATTGTGGATCGATTTCAAGCACCCCTTTCTTCCACCCAATCGCGGAGCCTGAGCAGCAGTAGTGGCTCTGGGGGGGCTGCGGTGGCGACTCAGGGCTGCCCCCCTTCGTCCCCACCCCCGAGGGCCGAATGTCCTTGATGCCAAGCGGGCACGGCGGCGTCACTCCGCGCCGCCCATGCTCGCCGGGTCGGGCCGCTGCCCGGGCGCGGCAAGTGCGCAGGGGACCCGCCGGGGAGCGCTCTCGGAGCCTCTGCGAGCCTCCCTGGGCAGCGGCGGCCGCCCCCCGGCAGCCCGCGGCCGGCCGCGCCGCTGCTGCCCCCGCCCCCGCCGGGGGATTGGCCGGGCAGTGCCGAGGGGCCGGGGCTAGGGGGCCGCGGGAGCCGCCGACTGCTCCCCGGGGAGGCGCGGGGCTGCGGTGGTGGCGGCAGTGGCGGCTGAAGCTGTGGCGGCCGCGGGCCCAGCCGGGCCTCCTGGGCGCGCCCCCGGCCCCCCGGGTGGGCTGCTCGCAAAGTTTGCAGGGGGCAGGGAGCGGGGCCGCCGCTGGCTCGGCCGCCGCCGGGGCTCCTGGGCTGCCTGCTGCCGCCGCGGCTCGCTGCTGCTGTGCATTGAAGCCCGGCCAAGCACTGCAAAAACTCCAGCTGCCTGGCGCTCTCTGGGTCCTCCTCTCCTCCCTCCCGCCCTCCCTGCTTCCCTGCCTCCCTCCCTCGCCTCGCCTCCTCCCCTCCCCGCAGCCCGCCGCCGCTCCCTCTCTGGCTCGCTGTGGCTGGCTGGGAGCTCGCGGCTGACATCTAGACGGACCGAGAGCGGCCGGCAGAGGGGGCAGGGGGCGACTCCCCGGCAGTCTGCGCTCGCGGCTGCCGCCCGCCCAGCCGGCGCTCCCGGGCACGGACGTTTGCGGACAGCGGTCTTGTCCCTTCGGGCCGCAAGCAGTGACCCTGCCTGTGGCGACGTGGGGCAGGCGCGGTGATAGGGGCTCAGGGCGCGCACTCCGAACGAGGCACACACAGCCTCGTGGCGCTGGCCGTCCGAGGGACCTGCAAGGGTTCAGAGCTGACACAGGCGCACGCACCCATTCTTGATCAGAGCCTGGCCCTAGCACCCCACCAAGCACCCCGCCCACCCACCCCGCCCACCCCGCCGCCATGGCACCCAAGGACGGAAGGCCTGCCTGGGTGAGGGAGCTTGAACAACAGTCAAGTGCCCTAGAGCTTGCCTCCTAACCTGAATTATCTACTCATGTTTACAGTAAGAGGCTAATCTGGCTCCTCTCGTTTTGGAAATGCTACATTCTACACCACAGCAAAAACAGACCATATGAACATCGGGGCAGTTTGGAAAGTCCAGAGTTAAGATGACAGGCTGCTGCTGGCAGGGAGGGGACCTGTGCCAGGATGGGACGTGGGCAGTGCTGCCTGGGAAACTCCCACCCGGATCCTTCTGGGATAGTGCCCCACCCATCAAGAAGCCTTATGTACCCAACTTTATGCAGCCCCCCTTGCCCCACCCCACCAGTCCCAGGGAACAGGCACCAGCACTTGTGCGCTAAGTACCTCCTTGAATGGGCAGCGACCACGGATGACACTCTCAAGGAGCCCCTGGTTTCTGGCCTCCTGCCACACCTCTCTCCAACTTTCCTTTTTCCCACACCCAGCAGCTTCCTGCCCGTTACTGTCCCTCCCACCGAAGCATCCCAGAGTGGTCCTTTCAGCGGAAATGATTGACAAGAGCACAAATTCCCACACCTTCCTGTAGGGGTTATGTGTTCACAGAAATCAGAGTTGCAAACTGGGGAGACATTAAGTTAAGCTGTGAGCTGACCAGCTCTCTGAAAGTCAAGGTGGGCGGCACACACAGGTCAGGCAGGGCCCACCTAGACAGGGCCTCGCCGAAGCTCTGCGCCCAAGAGGTGGGTGCTTCAGCGAGAAGCAGATGTGCCAGGCCAGAGGAAGGAGGAAGGCAGACGTTCGGGTGTCTGGCAGGAGAGTTTTCCAGGAGACAGAGTGGAGCCCTTTCGGCCTCTGCTTCTCAGCTGAGTATTGCAAGGCCCAGAAAGCAGCAAGGAGTTATCTTATTAGCGTGTGTTAATACATTGATCTGGTTCCTCTCTTCTCAGAAACCTTGGATCCCAGGCCCTAGATAAGGCAGACAGTATCAGGTTAATTTCGGAAGTCCAGAGAAACACAGAACAAACGTGACTCAAGGCTGCTGTTTCTTGGACTTCCATCCGGGCTGAGGGAGCCCCGGGCCAAACGTCTCTCCAGGCAGGACTGGGACAAGGGTGAGACAAGCAAGGTTTCCAGGGAGCAAAATTCAAGGTCATCACGCTCAGGGTCCCATAAGGCTGTCACCCAGAGCCTGGCCCTGCCTTGAAGTATCTTTCTAAAACTGCTGCACGGGGCCCTCCAGGCCTTTCCCAGAGGTGACAGCCCAGATAACACCATGGAAAACCCTAATGGGTCACTTAAGGAAAATGGTTCAATAAAAGCGGGGTGGAGGCGGGGCTGGGGGAAACCTTTCAAACGTCTGTTTGCCACTTGGCTTTCAAGGTACGCCATAAAAATGCTGAAAGGGAGACGTAAGTGAGAGAACAGCTCTGCCTTCATTCTCAGCCATTCTAGCGTGTGTGTTTAATACAGCTTGGTTTCCCCCCACCCCGCGTAGCCTGTATGCGGGCCTGCATGCACGTGTGTCTGTGTGACTAGGGCTGGTGAGCCATTTTCTGATGGATGGATGGACGGAAAGTCAAAGACTTTTTTTTTTAATTTAGAAGTGGCAAATGCAATGTATTTATTATTCGTTATCTCCTGCCTAGTGTGCGGTGTCGTTTATTTTCATTCAGAGAAATGAATGCCATGCGGTGCCTGAAGAGTAATAACAGGGCCCAATGACAGAGGAGAAATGAGGCACAGAGCTGGCCCAACAACATGCAGGTGAGGGCCCCGGCCGGCTCTCCTGTCATTAACGGGGCCATGTGGCCAACTGCCTTTTCCTTCCTTTCCCTTGCACTTAACAACACAGGGGAAGGGTGGGCTGCAGGGGCGTTTATACAGTCACTGCAAGGGAGAGCAGGCAGGGGCAAATTAGCAACGCCGTGGGACCCGATTTTCTTTTAATTAGTTGTGTTTTGTTTTGTTTGAAGTCCAAGCCCCGTGGACTTTCTCTCAGTGCTGGCCAGTGGGAGGGACAGGGCGAGAGGAGCCAGTCTGGACGTTGGAAGACCGGGTCCTAGTCCCAGCCCGGCCACCCACTAGCTCTATAATTTGGGGCGGGTCACACCTTCTCAATGACACTCTCTTCTCACCTGACCCATTTACCTCTTAGAGATCATTGGACATTCAAAGGAGAGGCTGTCTATTCAAGCGCCTGGAAACTCTAATCTAAGGTAAGTGCGATACACACGTAAAGCATTCGTTCTGCTTTTCAGAACCACACTTTTTTCACACTTTTTTTTAATGGCACAATACAGTGAGGGCAGGAAGGTCCCCCATGTGTCACCTCCTCTATGAACGACATCGGGAAAGGCAGCCTGTAGAGCAGCTTAGAGTGGGACTCTGTGTTAGGGACGAACCTGTCTGGCTCTCTCACCTCCCCCACCTGCGGTCTGGGGCAACGAGAGACACAAGAGCCCTCCTGCTGACAGGGGGTCTGTAAGTCACCCCCTGCACCCCTAGCCCAGCGGGGAACCCTGGTGGGTCATTGCCTGGCCCCAGGGCCACATGAGGGAGAAACTCACTGGCGTACCGTTTTGTAAAGCCCAAGTTCCAATGAGGCTGTTTTGTGTCAATGTGGTTGTGGTTTTTATTGAGGGGTTTGAGGGGAAAAGTATTGGCTCATCTCTCATGACTGAATAAAAGGGCCAGATTTAATAGGAGAGAGGAGAAGAAATCTGTAAGTTTCCCTTCACTTAGCTACCACCATTTTATTAGCCTAGGAACAGAACTGCTATTTAAGTTGATAAAAGCCAGATTTGTTTGTTAAATAAATCACGAGAGCCTGGTGGTGCTGTGGAGACTTTTTCCCCCCAAAAGCTGGCCCCCACCACTGGGTTTTAGACGAACCCAGCCCGCTGGATGAAAACCACAGGCAGTCAACAGCTTAAAAACCTAAATTGTGGCGCCACCTGCAGGAGAGTAGAAGTATTAACATTATCCCAACTCAGCTGAGATGCAGGGAAGAGCCCTGGGCCGTGACAGTGGGCTGGATGCAGAGGTCAGGGTTGCAGACAGAGAGAAAGACCCCAAATTCCCCGTGATCGGGCTTGCTCTGTGTGACCACATTTCCAGTGCACATTCCCGCAACCTTCCATCTGTACCCTCCTTGAAAGCTGCCCTTTCGAGGTATCAACAGCTGCTCTCAAGGTGCTCAGCCCATTGAAACAAACTGATTCTTTCCTCTGTTTCCTGAGGGGGTTAAGTGAGCCTCTAACCCAAGGGTGAAATGACCGTTCTTGGAGGAGGGTGGGGATGGAGCATCACCACCATTCTTAATTGTGCCTTGAACTTGGTGGCTGGGTACTGGTAGCAGACCTAACCTGGCCCAGGTTTCTCCAGCTTGTGTGTGCAAGCTGAATTTCTGCCCCCAGCCCTCTCCCGCTCTGGCAAGACTTGGCCTCCACTGACAACCCTGTCCCTGTCTCCTCCTGCTCTGTCTGAGACCCCCAGTGAGGGCTGTGCTTAGGAGCAAGGCTGATCCTATTATTCCCCATGGGTCTGGTCATGGAAGTCCACTGCCCTCAAGCCGTTCGATGAAAGGACATCTCTGCCTCACCTCCCCCCAGCCCGCCCTGCTGCTTCACTGCGACGTCCCAAGCCACACCACAGGGCTAGCGCCACGATGGGGGGAGGCTACTGTGGGCCGGAAGGTAGGGTCCCACACCTCCCACGATCCTAGGCTTACTCCCATTCCCCCAGCCCCTTTCTCTGCCACCCAGACTCCAGAATTCTCCCTTCTCTCCCAGCTAACAAACCTGTCATTTCACACAGAGGAACCACAAGTCAGAAGCTGCAGTGGGGAGGGAGTTCAGGAAGGGAGGGGTTGTGACGTAACTCTACTGGCCAGAAACAGCTGAGTCCCAGCTCTGGCCAGCTCCATATCTCGCTACAAGGAAATGTAAACACTTCAGTGTGACCCTTCTCGGGGGTTCAGTCCCCGGAGACTTGGGGTCCCACCGCATGCATGAATTCCGAGAACCAGATGGAGTTCATGGCTCCTGCTTGAAGGCTCCATCTTGCCGCTGCCTAGTTTCACTTGCCGAGGAGCTTAGGTGGGGCACTCAGCCCCTCCGACTGGGGCACGAAGAG